GGGGGAGCAAACTCCATAGTTTTTTTTGGTAGACTGGGAGAGAAATGGGGGTCGGCGTTTGTCTTTACCCTCTGCCATCCTGAGCGTGAGGAATATGAAAAAAGAAAACTGAGCGTGAGGAATATGAAAAAAAAACTGAGCGTGAGGAATATGAAAAATTGTAGATTTCGGTAAAGTTTAGATCTGGTAGAAGCCCCTTCATACCCCTTCTAGACTCCAGAAACCCAAAGATAGTTTTCGGAAGCAAGCTTGGGTTGAGGGACTCGTTTTGCACGCGCTATTGGTTATATGAATCTGGGCTGAAAAGATTTGTCCCCAGGACCCTGCGTTATGTGCACATATTAAAAAAGGAGTGGATGGTGTTGGGAAGAGGGCCGGGTAACCTAGGAATTTTCTGAGTCCTCAGAAAATAGAGCACAAGGCTTTGTAGTTCTTTCTTCTATGTTTTTGTTCACCAAACTGTCCCACTCTGCCACTGGGAAGCATTCTGGAATTCATTTTGCTCCTTAATTAGTAATCTCTGTCTTGGCGGATCAAATTGTGGTTTAGTTGCATGGATGCCCATGCAACATATTTATGTGCGACCATTTGTCTGTGAGCATCTGCTGTTGCGCTTGTGCGACATCGACTAATTATTTCCAACTGAATGAGTACACAGCAAACTAGAGATGCACTTAGCAAATAATTGGAAGCTGCCAATTATTTCCAACTGAACGAGTACGCAGCAAATTAGAGATGAACTTAGCAAAGAAGTGCCTATGGAACTTTATAGAGTTTCTTTTGTGTCGTCCCTTAACGCATTTGCTTGCGTCCCGGCCATTGTGTGGTTGCCATGTACCCAATGGCATTGGAAAATGCCAATATGTGCTTGGTGTCCTAATCTTCATCAGTGTTATCATCCTCTTCTTCCTCTTTGTCCTTGTCCTTGTCCTCATCCTCGTCCTCGTCCTCGTCCTCGTCCTCATCCTCGTCCTCATCCTCGTCCTCATCCTCGTCCTTATCCTCGTCCTCATCCGTGTTACCGTCATTGCTGTCCTCCTCGTCATCCTCCTTTTACTTGTCTTTGTTGTCACATTCCTGCTCCCGTCTCCATCACTCGCCTCCTGGCCATTGTGTGGTTGCTATGAACCCCATTGGCCTTGGAAGATGCCAATGTTTGCTTGAAATCCAAATCTTCACCATTGTTATCCTCCTCTCGCTCCCCTTTGTCCTTACTCTCGTCCTTATCCTTGTTACCATCATCGCTTCCCCGCCACTTCCTCGTCCATGTTCTCCTTGTCTTCATCCTCCTTGCGCTTGTTCTTTTTCTCATCGTTATCTCCATCACTTTCATCACTGTTGTTGCTGTCTTCCTCGTGCCGCCTCTCCTCCTCTTCTTCCTATTTTCTTTCATCCAGGCCAGGTCTGTCCTTCTGGGTGTTTCGGATGTTTCTGAAAGTTGGCGGTTTGGTTGAGCCCTAGCAGGCAGCAACATTGTTGGTCTCACTCATAAGCTTGAACACAGTGAACACATGCGTGAAGTGGGCATGCCTTATGTCAACAGGTTGAAGCTGCCGGGGTATATGTCCGCTCGTTTCCAGAATACTCGCAAAAATGGGAATGTTATTTGTTCCCATCACTCAAATGAAAGAAACTGGTATCTGAATTGCATGGTTGGCTAGGCCTAGCACCTGTCAATTGTTGCATAGGAAGATGGGTGCAATTATGAGTTGATGGCAAGGGGAAGTCATCAACTTGTAATTGCATCAGACCGTAGGTGGCCTTTCCTCGGTGGTGATTGGTTGGAGACTTAGGAGCAGTTCAAATGTTTGGCGTACACGCAGTTTCTGTTTCGTGGCTTAGGGTTCGAGTGAAATACTCCAACACTTCTGTGCTGTGGGTTGCAGGTTTGATGTCAGACCAGATCTTGGGTTTTTGTTGCCATGAAGGGTTCTTGAAGCGAGAGCAAAAAAGAAACCTGGCGTGTGGCCAGAAAACTGGGTGCGTTCCCACTTTTTCTTTTCGGGTCTTTCTAAGAGAGGTTCGGGAACTGTGAGCATTAAAATGGGTGTGTAGCACTGTGCACACGAAAACACACTGAGCGTGCGTGAACTTCCACTTCAGGGATGCAAGTTCACGTCTTAACCAGGTAGTGATTTTTAAATGCTCCGGTGTTCGCTTCTGTGTTCTGCATGCGTAGGACTTCGCTGTGCAGGTGTGCCAGGAGGGTTGTGAACAATGCTTTGACAAGGAATTGAGTGGATGAGGTTGCTTGTATGGTCTTTTGCATGTGGCAGTGGCGGGGGCAGGGAGGGAGGTCGGAGACGTTTGATGTGGCTCGCATGCAGGCCAACTGATATGGAGGAGTGTCGAGGGGGTTAGTTCACATGAAGTGGGGAGTGTCATGGGCAGACAAGGAGCATCACATGATGCTTTGACTGAAAGCTGAGAGGAGAGGAGTGTCATGGAGGTTATGCAGTGCTTTGCTTGTGGAGGGGAGAAGGGGTGAAAGGAGGGGTGACTCACATAACACTTTGCATGTGAAAAGGGAATGGACAAATGGGGGGTGTCGAGAGGGATCAGAGAAGGCTTTCCCCATGGAAGGGGGGAATGTCGAGTGGGGTTGCAAAGTGCTTTGCGAGCTTGAAGAGGGCAAAGAAAGTCCTGAGAGGAGTTGCATGATGCTTGCGCGTAAGGAGAAGGGGGATGGGATGGCGAGTGTCAAAGGGGGTTGCAAGATGCTTCGCATGTGAAAAGTGGGTGCTGAGTGCCAATGAGCTCTGTAAGACGCTTTGGATGCGAAGAGGGAGAATGAGAGCCATGGGGGAATTTTACGATTGTTTCCACGGAGGAAACATGAATTGTTAAGGGGGATTGCGAAGTTCCATCCACACAAAGACAGCAGAAGCTCGGAGTTGTGCACACTGGATGCAAAGAAGGAGACAGATACTAGGGAGTGGTTTTGTGCATGTGCGTAAAATGTGCACATCCACTAAAATACAAATGAAAAGAGTATAACATTCTTTGTTGCTGTGGCTCTGCCTGCAGCAACTGATGGGGGCAGATGAGAAGGGGAAGTAAGTCGAGGTGGTAGCAGGAGGAATGGGGATGGTGGCACGTGTGTGTGTGTGTGGAGAGAGAGAGAGAGAGAGAGAGAGAGAGAGAGAGAGAGAGAGAGAGAGAGAGAGAGAGAGAGAGAGAGAGAGAGAGGTGTGTGTGTGTGGAGAGAGAGAGAGAGAGAGAGAGAGAGAGAGAAAAGGAAGATCGTGTGTGTGTGTGTGTGGGGAGAGAGAGAGAGAGAGAGAGAGAGAGAGAGAGAGAGAGAGAGAGAGAGAGAGAGAGAGAGAGAGAGAGAGAGAGAGAGAGAGAGAGAGAAGGAACATCGTGTGGAGTCAACAATAGTTGCATATCGCTGCACAATCACTACATATGAGCGATGGGAAAGACTGGTGTGAATCATCGACCTCGGTGAGAGTACTGCTTTCGTGCAGTTTCTTCGAGTTCTTTTTTTTGTTACTTCGTCCTTGCCCCCCTCCCCNGAGAGAGAGAGAGAGAGAGAGAGAGAGAGAGAGAGAGAGAGAGAGAGAGAGAGAGAGAGATGGTGGGTTGATGGTACAGCAGCGTCTAGCCAATGCACAACCATGCATGCATGCTCACATGAAGACGCACTTTGAGCTGACGTGCAACGACATCTCACGTAAACACAGATTCCGTCATTTGTCTTTTTCTTGTAATTGGTGGGCGGAGGGGAGGCGTGGGTCGAAGAGGTGCGTCAACCTGAAGTGCAATCACACATCATGACTAGTGGTGACCTGCAGTCGCATGGTCAGCTTGTGTGACTGCAAGTCATCGCGGGAAAGAGCGCCCCTTCCATTGGGTCAATCATTATTTCTTTTTCCGCCTCGTAGTGATTTATATTAATCAACACCTGCAATTGTGCAAGTCGATGCCTGACCGTGCCTGCTATCCTTTCCACATCCACATGTAGACATTGTGGATGCTATGGCAGACGAGAGCACAGGCTGGCAACTAATTTTTTCTTCAACCCTATTTTGCAGCCTGCAAGTATGTCGTTACGTCAGACAGGTGTGGGGGAACTTGATGCTCAACCACACAAAAAAATGTGGCCAGTCTTGCACTCCTATTTTCGCTTCATTTTGGGAGGGTCTGGGTTTGATGTTTGGTGATTACTACAACACAAGTACATAGGGGGGATAGGGCCAATCTTGCACTCCTATTTCGCTACAACACAAGTACACATACACATACTACCGTTTCATCCTTTCCTGGGCAGAGGCAGAGGGTGCATAGGGCCTCTGCGATGGTTGGGCCACTCCACATGCGATGCATGGGCCGAACAAGATTGGGGAGGCCTGGATGGTCCAACAATTTCCGGGAGGGGTGACCAGGGGCACGCCGTTATGCATGGCATGACCCAACTTAGTATATCACTGATGTAAGAACACGGGGGAATATGCAAATGCTGAAGGGGTGGACGTAAATATGAAGATTGGCACCTTACATTTCAAAACTCGACCAGGTTGAACTCAGTGTGTGTTTTCTTGTGGGCAACAGGTCTACTAGTCGTGTACTGAAACTCTTGCAACCCTTCCCAGCTTCTGTGACTGTCGAGTATTTGACGTTTTGGCGTTCTTGTATGCATGACTGTGCTATAAGCAGATCAATAGCTTAGGAAACCTTGAAGTTGTGACGCAAGCGACACTGGAGGATGGTACTAAAGTACATGTGCCTGAGGTGGATCGTATCACTTACGAAGAAGAGTATCCTCACTAAAATGTCAGATGCTTCAAGCAGAGCATGCTTATCCTTCCCCTCTCCCCCTGTTTGTAATGTCCTGTAACGTTATTGCATCCGACATTATGTTTGCTCATGATTCACGTAAATATGTGCATGATGGGCCTCACTCCAATACTCACGACATGCACAAAAGACAAAAAATCATGGCGGTGTATCTTTCCATGTTCTAGCGGAAAATTCACTCTCGTTTTGCAAATTTCGAGAGTAGTGGAGCGAGGCCTCGTCACTGCTGTCTTCTCTGTGCGTGCATGTGTTTGCGATGATCATTCGATGTCCTTCAAACCCAGCCAGCCTGCCTTAAACTGCCTGTACCTTTGAGCTGCCCTTCCTGAACCAGTCCGCAGCCGTTCCCAGGTGCTGTGGGAGGGCAACCCGAAAAAAAACTGAGTTGCCATTGTCATGTAGAAAAAAAAACAACAACAACAAGTTGAGGAGCGATGTTCGGCACTGGATCTAGCAGTAGCCCGAATATGCAGGCGCTGTGCTCCACTATGGGTCTCGCTCCACTGACCACCAAATTTGCAAAATGCGAATGAATCTTATGCTGGAACATGGAGAGATACGCTGCCATATTCTTGCCTTTTCTGGATGTTGTGAGTAGTGGACTAACGACATGCAGAAAAGGCAAGAATATGGCTGTGTATCTCTCCATGTTCCCATATAAGATTCATTCGCATTTTGCAAATTTGGTGAGTAGTGGAGCGAGGCTTATATAGATTCCAGTGTCTGCATATCCGGCCACAAGCCGTCAGTGACAGCGGGGCACCGTCAGGCACGAGAATATGCAGGAGCTGCGATCTACCGTCTTCACCCGCAAATAACGCCCGGGCGTTATACTCAACTTATCCTAAAAAAGTCCGAATTTAGTTTTTACTCATTTTTTCCCGAATATAACGCCCGAGCGTTATATTCGAATAGAACGCCCGGGCACTCTATTCGAATACGTCATTGTAAAACGTCGTTTTTTTTCCCCGCATTAGTTGTGTGTGTGTGTGTGTGTGAGAGAGAGAGAGGGAGAGAGAGAGAGAGAGAGAGAGAGAGAGAGAGAGAGAGAGAGAGAGAGAGAGAGAGAGAGA